GTCCGCACTACAACGGTCAGAGAGGAACCCAACCTCATTGATCTCGACAATGAACCTAGAGATTTGGTCAAAGAAGTAACCAAACTCTCTCAAGAAGATGCTAAGGATCTCTTTGCCCGTTATCTCGAAGCTAATCCGGATTTTCATGTCTGAGGGTTGCCCCAACGTCAACACCTCTTAGAATATCAATTTCCTCTGTATTAATTGCCGACATGCAATCAAAATCAATGCGTATCCCCATCCAAATCAGAGCAAAAGAAACCGTTGGAAAAGTCCTTGCACTAGTCGACTCAGGAGCACAAGGCAAATTCATCAATCAAAGAACAGTCCGGGAGTTAGGACTACTAGAGAAACCCTTAAAAAGACCAATCAAAGTATTCAATGTCGACGGAACCCCGAACGAGCTGGGGTTCATTCGCAACGAAGTCGAAATTGACATGAACGTGGGAAACCAACCTACCAAAGAAAGGTTGTTAGTTACCCAATTAGGCAAACAAGACATCATCCTTGGCATGGACTGGTTACAAGAAAGAAACCCGTCCATCAACTGGAACAAAGGCACCTTAGACTTCTCAAAAAGAATTCAAAGATGCGAAATCGAGGAATTACCAGATAATGAAGGAAGAAGCATCAATGCTCTTCCATCCAACGACTCAGCACTCCTTAGAGAAGAAACAGAATTCGCGGTCACTATCTCAGAAAGAGGACAAATACCCACTAGAGGAACAGAGGAAGCCGCAGGACTTGATCTCTATGCAAGCGAAGACCAGATAATACCACCTCAATCTTGCATGCTTATCAAAACAGGGCTAAGCGCTCAAGTTCCTGAAGGAACCTATGGACGAATCGCACCAAGAAGCGGACTAGCAGTCAAAGGAATCGACGTAGGAGCAGGAGTAATCGACAGGGACTATACTGGAGAAATCTGCATACTCCTCATCAACTCCAAAATCGAAGAACACAAAGTGGTCAAAGGAGATCGAGTGGCACAACTAGTACTTGAACGAATCTCTATGGCAAAACCCAAACAGGTCAAAACCTTACCAGGAACCAAACGAGGATCAAAAGGGTTTGGGTCTACCGACACCAAAACAATACAAGAAGCCAGACCAGAAGAAATAGCTCGACACGTACTACATCTTCTCAGAAAAAGAGCACCTCTGGACCGGTCCATACACATCGCCTCGATAATTGCCTCAGAACCCATCCTACAAGCCGAACAATGCGAAGAAGGAGACTACATCCTCGCATACACCCCAGGAGACTCCTTCTCATACACCATGCGCACTGAACCAGATGAAATGGCCAAAGATATAGCATCTTTATGGATTAACGCAAAAATCAACCCGGCAATGGCAATGGCACAACAGGCAACGGAGAATACAAAAAACGAACTACCAACTGCTTATCAAGACTATCAAGACGTCTTTGAAAAACAAGCAGCCGAACGGTTTCCGGAATCAAGGCCATACAACCATGCCATCGACCTGAAACCAGATTTCATCCCCAAAGATTGCAAAGTCTATCCGTTATCTCCATTGGAACAACAGAAACTCGACGAATTCCTCGATGAGAATATGCGAAAAGGCTACATACGACCATCAAAATCACCAATGGCCTCACCATTCTTCTTCGTAGGAAAGAAAGACGGAACACTACGACCATGCCAAGACTACCGGTATTTGAACGATGGCACTATCAAAAATGCATACCCACTTCCTCTCATCTCAGACCTTGTTGACCAACTCAAAGGATCCAGCATATTCACTAAGCTTGATTTACGAGCAGGATACAACAACGT